CGGTAGCGCTGCCGGTATAGCGCTGCAGGTATAGCGTTCGGCAACGCAACACTTAGTGTGTTGCATATTTCATTTGTATGTTGGGATGATGGTCTCACATTTTGCTTGCAGTGAATTAGCATGAATGTGGTAGAACAATATGCATAATACCTACCCGCTTAATAGGTTCAAAGAAATACTTAAGACGGGAATTCCCTAATCCAATAATATAATACTTCATTTTTAATTAAAAATATCGTTATTTTATGATTAATTTTATTTCAACAAATGAAAGATAATAAATTAAATAGTTTTCATAAATAAAAAGAAGTTAAATAATTCTAAATTAATCTTATAACTTATACGTATGCTTTATTCTTTTTTTAACTTTATTGGTAGATTTTAATGTCTTTGGCGAAAACTTTGCACTCGAGTGATGTTTATTAAGAGCTCTGTAATGATGATATTGGCGGGTATTTTTATGGTTACACATCGGTCATAACGTAATTTAAACATCTTCTCATGGGAGTCATGATCTTCTTGAGAGCAAATACCAAAGTTAATTTTTTTAAATGCATTCTTACCCCATTCAAATAATGAAGTTGCATTGGTTATGGGCTTATCGCCTTCCCTTTGAAGACTTGCACGAAAAGCTTGCCTCTTAAAACTTCCTGCCAAACCATCACATGCTCCTTTCCCATGAGAAGTAGCAAAAATTCCATTCCGCGTCCACGTTGAAATCTTTTTATGATTTATTAAATTCACAAAATTATACTTATTTTTGTACTGAGAAGCAGCTCCGTCCGAAAATAGAAAATTTTTTTTTTTATCCGCTCCAAACTTATTTTTAGAAATTTATCAATTTAAAATTAAAAGGTGAACTGAGCTCGCGTCGTGACAAACTTTTTCCGAAATTACCACGTAGTTTATATGTTTCATTTCTTCATTTCTCTATAGTACACAACGTAAGGGTGAATTGTATCCTGACTGGTATTCCAATGATGAGATTGGATGGCATTTTGAACAGTAAAGTATAATTTTCAGAAAAATCAAGGCAAACGATAAATTCTCCATCCTCAACAGATTTTTTCTGTTCAGTAAAATATGACGCTTGAGATCGTGCAAGGAAATCATGTCTCAACAATTCAGGCCATTTTTGTCTTAAATCATAAAAATCTTCTTTTGTCTTCGTTTCTTCAATGATTTCAGTTCTAAAAATTCAAAATAAATTAACTGAATAAAATAATATAAAAAATGGATAATCAAAGGATTAACAATTTAAACATATAAAATCTAATAATTTCATTATTAATATGTAGATTGCGTAACAAAATATAAAGAATTACTCAGTGGCGTGAATATAAAAATTATTTGATGACAATAATTACAAAAATTTTAAAAGAAAAGGAGAGATTTGAAATTTCTTTACCTATCAGTACTTTTCCATTGGCTGTATGTAATTTCATTTATTTTATGGTTATTAAGCAATAGTTCCAATTTGTTTAAATACTATCACTTCCTGGACTTTAGTACACTTTGAAAAGTAACACAATGATGCAGACTCTTGGCAAACAGAGCTTTTAATTAAATCATTTGAGCTTTCTGAAATTATTGTCCCTCTTTTTAATTCATTTTTAATCCAGCTAATTGCAATTTGAAATTTTGATGGATTTTACACACACACACATTATGAGTTCCACTTTTGCCAGCAGATATACATTCCCGAGGTCGGAATTTTTGAAATTTGGATAGTCCAATCTTTTCGTCAGGATAAGCTTCTTTAAATTTTTTGTGTATTTCGTGAACATTATATAATAATAGTCGTTTTTGTTTTTGGATTTTCTTCCCATTTTCAATCACCGAAACATAATCTTTCATACCAGGCATTACGCGGCTGACATCATCGGATAGATAGAAAGCTTCAATACGATCGAGGGTTTCAATGTTTAGAGATTTTACTCTCTAATCATAGGTTGCGATGCGAATCCTCGTTCTTGTCGTATTTTTGCAATTCTCACCATTCGTTTGGAAACTTTAAACTCTTTCATCTCTCTCTTTGCCCGTCATAAAAATTTTTTTTTGCTTAATCTAATCGCGATCGGTCAAATTTTTTTGCGGATTTCGTTACTTTAATGTTTATTGCTAAAATAAAAAAATTTTAATTTTTGAGGGAGAAGTCATTAAAATTTTCATTTCTTAACTTAAAAGTTAATTAACAATTTGAAAAAAAAAAATTATTTAAATTCATACATTTTTTTTCAAAGCAAAAGTTTTGAACTATAACTCCTGAAAATTTCATTAAAAAATCACCAATAGTTTTCTAGTTATTAATTTTTTAACTAAAAGTAGAAAAAATTTTCAATTAAATAAAAATTGTTGTTAAAATTAAAATTTAAAAAAACTGAGCAGGGGATTACTTGCTTATGATGACTACTTTATGAAAAAATACTCACATTCAAATTCGATGATCAAGTGGAAAATGGGGGGTCCACTTGACGTGTTTTTACTCACATACAAGTGTAATCTATAATTTTTGTCTGCTTTCCTTTTTTCATTCTATTGTAAAAACAATCTCTAATACTATTGTGTATAGAAGACATAGTTATGGTCAAATTATCATTTTCAATATTGCTGGGAACAAATCGTGATAATAATTCTGTAGCTTTTAATGCCTCTTCTGCGGTAGGTAATGGTGCTTCCTCGACTTCCTCTTCCCCATCACTTTCTAGTTGTTCCTTAGCACTAATGTTCTGTACGATATTTTCATCGGTGGGTTCTTCGGGTGTGAGGAGAGCACTATTGATGTCAACATAATCTTCCCAAATTTCCGGTGCTGCTGAAGAATCTGAAATTAGGTTTCGTGACCACAAAGATAAAGGAATGTCATCTTCTTTATCGAATTCTTTCTTCTTTTTCACCAAATCACGATCCCAATCACGAAGCCACTTTTCAAAAAGTTCTGACGTCATCCAAGCTTTACGATTGTTAGCATAATCGACAGGTAATGACTTGACACTTCTAAAAAGTGACTTTACAATAACGAGCAATCTCTTCTTTTCAGTGCTACTCACTGCTACCATGACAGTTATTCTATCTTTCGACAACTTACCTCCACTACAATTTACACCTTGAAATTTTAAAGTTTTATCCGGCAAGAATTTGTAAAAAATACCAGTTCCATCAGCATTAAATATCTCATCATCAGAAAATTGTCCTCGTAAATTCGGCCACACAGATATCAACCAGTTTGTAGTTAAATTGTGAGCAACAGACGAAGATTCGCCGACAATTTTTCCCACCACAATGTTATGTCGAACTTTAAAACGATTGATCCAGATTGCAGAACAATTGAAGTCGATAATACTAAATCGGGCGGCAAAATCATTTGCTTTTTCCTGTAGCATAGGGCCACTGACAGGTATTCCTTAATAAATAAATATATAATTAGCCCAAAAAAAGAAGTGAGATTCATATTTAGGTTGTTTAACACATGTAAGTATTTTGAAGTCTTAGAATAATTTGTTATATTGAGGTTTAAAAGTTAATTTTGAAAATCCTTTGTGATTAAAATATATGAACTTCCATATTTTAGGATACTAGCTTGATGCATGTACATATATATACATAGTACAAATTAACAAATCCTAAATTTGTAGTAAATCACACAACAACAACATTTTCATTCATGAACACTGGTGCCCTTGCAATAAGCTAAGTCGTTTCATTCATAAAAGCAAGCGCCTTACACATCTCCCCGAGCATGCGTTTGCCTACAAGCGTTTTTTCGCGACGATGGCAAAAGCTAGAAATCATAAATTGAACAACTTTTTGATGTTCCCTCTAGAAGGGAAAAGTGATAACCCTGCAAGCCCACAAAATACAGAAAAAATTGACAACAATGGCAACGGAGCTTTTGTCGATTTAAAATATTTTACAATTCTAAAATATTTACAATTCTAAAATACGCAAAAATCTGCGTCAATATATTCATTCGTTTATTTTTTCGCCTCATATCGGATTTTACATAAATATGTCTATAGACAATTTTTTTATGACCGCAGAAATATGCTTTTGTAGAACATTTGCTTTCGCAAACATACATACAAATGTGCAAACGATATATTATTTTTATGTCCTGTTGCACATTTGCTTCTACGCCAGTCAAATTTCTATATGAAAATCATCTGAAATTTATATTGAAATAAAATAGACTTTTGAGCAACAATATATTTTTTACAAATTTATTAAAAATTATATCATAATAAAAAGACTGTTTGTGTATTTACAAGGTGCGTTCCAAAGTAAACAGTAAAAAAGTAACAAAGCAACCTCTAGTGGCGCCATCTATATGCCGACTAGTGCGTTAGAATCTGCTATCCTTTATCGACTTCCAGTAAAAATTTCATGACATTTCATCTATTGGAAGTGAAGTTATCGCGTTTTAAGTTTTAAGATGAAACAAGTTTATGGCGATGATTGCCTATCCCGTAGCAGAGTGCACGAGTGGTTTCAACGTTTTCAAAGTGGTCGTGAGGACATACATGAGAAATGAGCCGAAACCCAAAAAATCGCGCCTGGAGAAGTCAAAAGTGAACACAATGCTGATTTGTTTTTATGATTCCAAGGGTATTGTCCACAAAGATTTGTTCCACCCGGCCAAAACGTTAATGCGGTATTCTACCTTAGAGTTTTGAAACGTTTGGCGATAATGCGCCGTCTCATCGATCGACACTTGTGACCGATTATTTGACCACAAATCACATTTTAACAATCAACCACTCCCCGTATTCACCTGATATGGCACCGTGCGACTTCTACCTTTTCGGAAAAATGCATTTGCCGATGAAAGGAAAGCGTTATGCAGACTTGGAGGCCATTCAAAAGGCTTGCACCGGCATACTGGCGGCCGTACCGGGTAACGAGCTAAAACAATCGTTTGACATGCTTTTGGACCGTGCAATAAGCTGTATTAAAGAAGAAGGAGACTATTTTGAATAAAATTAATTGATTTTGCCGATAAAACTATTTGTTCTGTCTTTTTTTTAAAAGTCCTGTTTACTTTGGAACGCACCTTGTATATGTGTGTATGTATATATTTTCCTTTCACCAAGTGGGGTAGGATCCCCATTACATTAATGGCGGTCCTACCCCACCTTGGTGCAAGAAAACCTATATTTTCCTTTCAATGGTTTTCCCAGCTGGTGAATGGTTTTTTTCACCAAGTGGGGTAGGACCGCCATTTTTCTACTACTGATCGGTAACTGAATCAAACTGAATACCCATTAATTTATGGCGTAACCGCTTTATTGTTAAGTATGCAGCTTTGAAATCGAGAAAGTAACTATGTAGCCTTTCATCTTGAGGTAAGGTCTTCCAGCTCTAATAAAATACAGGATGCCACTTCCCTTCATGTTCTTGTACTAATGTTGCACCAAATCCTCCACTCTGTTTAAAAATGTTCAAAATGGATTATTGCGTAAGTGCTGACTACAAATCAAGTATTGCTAGAAATTTTGGTTCTTTTTTCAACAACTGTGTTAGAGGTCTAACTATGATGGCATAATTTTAAATAAACTTCCTAAAATATCCCGTCAAACCTAGGAAAGCTTGAACGCCTTTTATATTGGGTACAATACAAACTTTCACAGCTTTAAGTTTATCTCTTAAGAGCTCTTAATAAGCATTTGAACCATTTTATTTCCAGACCGAAACTTTGAGCCTTCCGCAAAACCATTTTTACATGCTTCAGACATTTATCCGATGTCTGTCCGAAAACAACTACGTTTGTCGTCTACATAGAACTTCATAATACCATTGTTTATCATCTGCCAAAAAATGTAGTTTACATAATGCATAAACAATACTGGCGAGTTTCAAAATCGAAACGGTGCCTTAGTAGTTTCAAAGAAACCTTCTTTGGTTCCAAATGCTGAATATGTTTCATTACTTTCTTCGATTGGCACGTGAAAGAACCCATTTCTGAGGTCCACTACCGAAAATAAATTTCTCTCAATGCATCTTCTCTGACACTTCATCGATGATTGGAAAAGGGAAGCAAACTTTTAACACGGCAGCATTTAGTTTTCGATAGTCAATGCAAACACGATAACTTCCCTCTTTTTTTTTTCAAGTACTACTTTATTTTTTTTTTCATGAACTATACCGAATTTTAACCACTCGTCGACTTGGCTCTTGACTACATATATATGTACGTCACGCTCTGCTGCAGACAATCGAGTTGGACTCTCATTGAAATTAATGAAATGGTGTTTCGGTATTAGCTTCAGCTGAATAGGATATTCAATCGTGTTACCTACAGGATTGCATTTAATAATTAATTTAAAAACATCGTTTTTATATTGGGAAAATAGATCAATTTCAGGCACCTTTTCTGTAATATTGTATATGGGATTTGAGACATTTTTCAATTCGTCATCTTCGTGTATTTGCTTTGTCTTATTAAAGAAAAAGTTTCCATTTGCATTAAATTCTAATTGGAATTGCTGAATAAAATCATATCCGACAATAACTTCGTTGTTTATTTTACGACAAGAAATGTATTTTCAGTTTTTACATTATCAACTTCGACTTCTAAGGATAACACATCAACAACATGCTTCGCCGCTATCGCAATATTTCCCAAACCATAAAATTTTTGGCGATGTGACCATTGCCGTTGCATTTGAAACATTTTGTTCTGCCTTACATTCTGCACGAATGTGTTGCTGCAATTAAGGAACAGGTAGATTGATTGCTCCCGAGTGCAATCTCCTTCAGAGAAGTGACTATCCAATCTGATAGCAGGGCGGCGATACTAGCCTTCGGTTAAGGAATGCCTAACCTTGTTAACAATGGCATCGAGGTACTTTGTAAAAAGAGTAGTACGAGTGCCAGGTCAACACGGAGTCGGAGGTAACTGTAAAGCTGACGAACTGACAAGGAAAGTCACCCTGTCAGTAGAATGGGAAAAGGGTTGCGTTCAATTCCCCTCGTGTGTTCTACTACTCGATAGCTGGGCCTCGCGAGAGTATGGTCAGAGCTAGTCTACTATCAGTTCTTTTCTTCGTTTAGACTCTTTTAAGGCTAGCCTCTTTCAAGTTGCCCTATCGGTGCCCACGCTATAAAGTTGAGGGTCTTACCTGATGCCAGCTGCAAACGCTGTATGGAAGAAGAGGAGGTGGAAACATCTCAACACTTCCTTCTTGATTGTCCCGCGTTTGTGAAATCAAGGCTTAAACACTTGGGAGCTCACACTTTCAGATATCCCACCGAGCTGGTAGGAATTGAAATTAATTGCTAAGCAAATTTGTATTGTTTACAAATGACTGCGTATTGTAATTACAGTGCGATTCCCGGATCAGCCATCGAACCCTAACCTTACCTAACGCTAAATATGAATGAAATTGGTCTAGACCAATCGGTATTAACCCTGTATTCCTAATATAACGTTTTCCAATTCTCTGACGTTTTACTCATGTACCAAATATAATATATTTAAATTTGCTTCTTTGATTGAATTTATATAACATATGTATATGTACAAGTACATATCCACATACACATAGCCTATAAAGTCTGCGTTCACCCGACACATGTTTTAAGTGAAGTAAAAACACAATGTAAATAGGTAATTCAGTTCAAATTTTCTGCATGTATTTCTTCTTTATATTCTTAAGTTCAAAATGCAAAAACAAAAATGTATATTCCTATTTTCATTTTTGTGATAACGGGATTTTAGTGTAAGAACAAGTAAACATAGGCACCATTAAGTCTGCGTTCAGTTAGCTTGAATTGGAAACAGTGTTCACATCTTGAAGTGAGGCGATTATCGTACCAGTAGCGTAAAATTATCGTACATGAAACGAAATTATCGTACTTTTAAAAAGAATGACTACAATTATTTTAATTATTGCTAATTTTTGCAATGTCCAAGTCAACATCAGTTGGTTTAGTATTATTTATTTCTTCGGAATCTTCACGTAAATAACTCATTTTTCACTTTACAGCTACAGAGTGAAAATGATAGTTTATATATAGTTTATAGCCAATGAATTAAAGTTTTCGATTGACATACTTACTCATTAATATAAAAACACAATCACTTAATATAGAAGCATAATCGCGTTGAGCTTCCAGTTACAGTTTTTTTCGAATTACTATTTTAAATCTTGAACGCGAGCACGTTAGCTCAATACAATAACAAGAAAAACAGCCAACATTCGAACACTAAATATGCAAGGTCTGTGAAGTCTGAACATAATCGAAATCAAACCACAATATCGATATTATTTGTTCGTTGAACGAACCAGTAGATGGCGTTGTGAGCAAAAAGACGGAAAAAATATTTGCTAGCAGTAAGAGCCAAGAGCCAAGAGCTCGCGCCTTCTCCTCTTTTTTCCTATAAAAAAAATCGCCCAA